GCTTTTTAATGCTGAAAGCTATAAACTGAATAATTTCATGAAATGATTTCATCATTCGAAATCGAAATTTAATTAGAATTCATGAAAATACAAAAACTGGCGAATTCATTTGCATCTTTATTTTCTTTTCTTTCATAGATTTTAAGTGAAATTGAAGATTTGGAATTTCTTTGGAATTTTTAAGTTATGCAAAATTCTTTTGATAGAACTGATTAAGCAATAATGTAACGATTGTTGATGGAGTTGATTTAGGTTCGTTCATCTGGTTTACATTCCAATCGGCAAACCGTGACAGTCGTTGAAGGACTTAACAGATCATTAGAAAATGAACTCGATTCGAATCGATATAGTGCTTGGTTAGGCGGACAGGTTAGTTTTTTTCTTTTACCTAAATGAGGATATTTTTCAATGAATAGTTAGATTTGATCCAAAAATAGCCATCAAAAGTTGACTATATAATCGAAAATCAATTGGCTAGAATTTTTAAACATATTTTCGTTTTTCAAATTTTCAGCTTACCCTTCAATCTCAGTCTCGCACTGGTGGTTTTCAAAAAGTTCGAGATGTAGTATCGACATCTTATTATGATCGAGTTATGAGCGAAAGGCAGCAGTCCTTAAGGCCAAGATCAAAAGTCGAAAGCTTTCAAAACGATAAGAATGATAAGGATGATAACAGTGAAGCTATTTGTAATTCTATATCAGCATTAGTGATGAAGGAAGAGAATTAACAAAACAAAATTGAAATTATTCAATTATTTTGATGTGCTCTAGTTTCATTTTGTTTTTTGCTTCAATTTACTATGAAAATTTGGTAAAATGAAATGAATAGCAATAACTATTCATGTAAATTATTCATGTGCAATTATCAAAATCGCTCACAGTATTATCAGTGATAAATTGATTTTCATTATAAAGTAGGAAACTAATATTTTTGTATATCTCTTTTTGATTAACTTTTTGATTGCTCTTCTCTTCGTATTTTTTGAAAATAGCTATAAACTACTAATTTCGCTTTGCTAATTTTAGGTTGTTTAAAGAATAATAGAAATGGTTTATATCTTTTTTAAAAATCCAAGAAAAAAAAATCGTAGATGAAAGGATGTAAATGAAATATTAATGCCTTATTTTCAAAATTTGCTTAACTTTTTCTGGCAGTTGTCTACTTTTATTAATTATTAGTCTTCAAACTTTAGTTTTTTAAAAAGTATTGGCTAAAAATTATACACGAACGGTGCATTTAAAACGGCAAAATATTGGCTATAATTATGTGTTAACAACTAAAGAAATTAAAACTTCCATTTTCTCGAATTGCCTTATTTAAAGCCATTGCTAAATAATCAAAAAAATAATTATTTTGTCAAAAACTGATAAAACTGATAAAATTGATAGATTGATATTTTAATTTACTAAATCATCGTCCTTTATTATTTGCCTCAAATTTTTTGCATTTAGTTATGGCTATCGCAGTTATTTTAATTCCGATTGTATATTAATATATTTTTAAAAATTGAATAAAATTGAATAATTATATTAAATTCGATATAAATTACGAATGACTTATTACAGTATGTTTTTTTTTCTAAATAAAATTCCAATTATAATAATTCGTTAGTGAACGATGCAACTTTATATACATATATTCATATAATAACTGGATGATAGTGGTACTTTTGCCTGCATCGAATATCGATTTTTGTTGGATTCCCTCGTCGCGATAGTTGTCATTAAAAGGCTCTATAGCCACAAAATGTTGAACGCCAACTATTTTAACCATAAATTCGATTTATCATTAAAAATTTTGCTAAAAAAAATGCATATTCTTTCGATGATAAAAAAAATGCTAAAAAATAACTGTAAAAGAATTTGATTAGTTGAAATAATCAAAAATGATGTGTGCTATTAAGAAGACGAAATAAAATTTGGCTGGAATTCATTTTTATGGAAAAAATTATCAAATCAAATTTATTTTTTTATTTCTATCAATAAAGAATAGAATTTTAATAAATTTTAAAGCTATCGATTTTCTCAATCAATAGAGTTAAAACAATGAAAAGATTGGAAATTTATTGCTAAGAAGTAAATGGTTGGCGATGTTGGAGCGAGCGTAACGAAGTGGTACAGAAAATTTATCAGTTGCAATAATTTTTAATTTATTGAAAATCGCTAAGAAATTTATCATTTATCAGATTTATGGGGTTTATTTTCGATTTGTTAAACATTATTGCTGTTAGTGGTTCAGGTATACTTCTATCAGCAAATGGTTGTCGCTCTTAATTTATATTAACCAATGATGTGAACTGATGATGGAGTGCCTTAAAAGAAAAAAAAAAGACGATTTTGATAAAATAATTTAAATTAATTTTATCATTTTCTTTTTTCTTTTCTATTTTGAATATTTCTATTTTAAAAGATTAATATTAAAATTAATTATAATAATAATGATAAAACGTTGTTAAAAACGAGATGAATCGAGACGAAATGATAAATTTCTTAGCGAAAACGAGATTTATCATCTAACAGACCATTATTAATTAGTGCAGATCGACATTTTTTATTTGATAATTTCGCATTTTCATAATATTTTCGTAAATGGCGCTAATGCTTCTTTCTACTTTGTTTATTACTTATATAAATACGATTTTAACACTAATTAAGAAAGAAAGTTAGCCGTAACTTATCATTTATCAATACTTTATCATGGTTTACGGCGTTTTTTTATTTAGTTTTCGAAAATATATCAACGGTTCTGAATTTTTGATAACTTATAAAAATTTCAATGTTGATCATAAATTTTATTCAGTTGAAATAAAAAAATTCTAATGTGATTCATAAATTTTGTTCGGTTAAAATCACAGACTGCTCAGTTTATAAAGTTTCTTTTTCATATTCCATCGAATTTTTTAAATTATTAAATTTTGTGTATTCTAAATAAGAGACAACTGTTATCTATAAAATAATAATGTAACTGTTATCTATAAAATGATAAGTGTAACGATTTTGATATCGCTTTGATTAGTAATTTATCAGATTTATTATTTATCATAGTGATGACCGATTAAATATTTTTTGTATTTGATCGATTATTAATTGCTTTTATTTTTTATTATATGAAATTAATCAAAAACAAATTTTTTTTTAGATTTCAATGGGATTCATTTTGCTATTTTTTTTATTAATTGCTTCAGTTTATACGGAAATTAGTCAAACTATTCCAGGTTCAACATAATTTTTCCATATTTATATTTTTTGAAATGATTTTCACCAAATAATATTAAAGAATAAATAATATTTATTGAATAATATTTAGCCATTTGCATACAGTTGATATTAGAAAGCTGAATAAGGCACTGGATATTGGCCTGGATTACTGAAAGGCAAGGGTTCACCTTCTGGTGCCGATATAAGCATACCTTAAGAAATCCGTGGATATTGGCCTGGATTACTGAAAGGCAAGGGTTCACCTTTTGGTGCCGATATAAGCGTACCTTAAGAAATCCGGATGGTGACGCATCTGTACTTCTAACCATTTCTAACCAAGTTCACAAAAATTTTTTATAAATAAAATAAAATTATCAAAAATTATCAAAATTTTTTTACCCGACAAACGAAAGGATGACAACGATTTCTAGATTTATCTTTTCGATCAAAACTGAGCGATTTGCTATAGATTAATTTCTCTCCAACCATATCAGTTAAGATTTGGACTCAACTTCTTACAAAATTGAACATACCATTGAAAAATTCAGATGATGCTTGGCATCCACCTGCACTTCTTTTTCTAAAAGATTTCCTGACGAAATTTTCTAAAAATTTTTAACCAAGTTAACAGCCAGCGAAATTAGCCTAACCAGAAACAGGCATTGTTAACCACTTCTTTATATATTTGATCTATAAAAAATTTTTTATAAAAAATTTTTCAAGCATAAAAATTCTATTTAGCACATGAAAGTCTTGCGTATTGCAAAAAAGATTATTGCCGAAAAGCAAAAATTGTGAAAAAATGCTATATTAGATAAAGTAATATTACTTTAGAATTCCATGTATCAGATGAAGATTTGCTGCAATTCGTGAATTATTTAAGAGAGGAAGACTCGAATAAAGCCAGGCCAGATCAAATCGAGCTTGATTTTCAAGGACATACCACAACCAGAGATGAACAAGATCAAGCAAAAAATCGGTTTATTTGCATTTCACTAGTTTTGAAACAACTATCAGTGTATTTACTAAATTTAAAATTTTTTTCTGGAGAAAAAAATTTTTAAAAAATTTATTATTAATATTTTCAATTATTAATATTAATATTTATTTTAAAATAAGTGCGTATGGCTATTGCTATCTTTTTGCTTCTTTTTATAATAAATGAAATAAAAATTAAAGTAACGAATAATTTAGACTTTTCAAGTATGTCGATCCAGCATTACTGAAGAAAGAGACATATAAAAATTTTATTGCACTTAGTGATAATTTTAATCGCCAAACTGGAATCTCTGAAATTGAGACAAATGAGGCAATATTTATTTGTTTACATCTATTAAACATCATCGTTTTAAACTCGGGTCATATAAGTTTGAATAAGATTTTGGCGAATTAAACTCAACCCTGAAGGAACTTACCAATAGATGAATCCTAGTACTGCTGAGTCTACACTTACTATTTATATTATCATCTGTTGGATATTTAGTGAAAACCAAAATATGCAGTAAATATTAATGTTGAAGAAATGCTAAAATTGATGATTTTCAACAGATTTTAGACTATGCTCTCAAATTTTTTCTGCTTTTTTTTCGAATAATACTCTCCGTTTCCACTTACTGGTTCTACTGTCTATAAAGACTAGTTTTTTCGCAAGTACCATAATTTGATTTTGTGATATGTGTATGAAAAAATGATTGGAGCCAGTCGCTTTTCCATGGTACAAGCCTATATGCAGCTTATATTCAAAATCTTTTTTGAAATGAAAATGAAAAAGCGAATTTTTCCACCACTTTTTCTACTTAATTCAGATCCAGAATGTAGCGATTCCATTTTTTATTTCGGCGAAATAACTATGATAAATTCAGAAAAGAACAAAATAAAAGCCATCACTTATCAATTGTTTATATAAATTCTATTTTTAATTTTTATAGATTTTATTAAATATTTTAGGAGAAAGCAGAAATCGATAGGTTTTTGCAATCGCTTTTCACTACGAAACTATGGGAAGATTTATATGAATTTTTGCACTCAAAAGGTTGGCTAAAGTTTTGGTGTAAGATTGTAGTAATCTTTATTCTTTCTTTATAAATGACGATTAAAGGAACTCGAGAACCAATAATAAAAATTTATCGGCTCGTAAAGCAAAATATTTAGGTCATCCATTCGCCACTGACCGTAAGACGCTCTTCAGATGGGTCAAACAGCTTTGGTTTGGATTTTATTCTCGTTCTAGAGGCCTTGCCGATACATCAGGATTTGAACATGTCTTCATGGGTGAGGTTAGAGTAATCTAACAAATTTTTTTATGCAGTTTTTTTTATCAAGTAAAGAAAAATTAAAGATGATAAGGGTATAATTTTATAATTATCTAATTTTTATATGAAATTTTTACTTAATTTTTTTATTCACATTTTTCTGGTAAATTAAATGATAAATGATAACAAATAGATTTTGTAAAAAAAAAGATGTGATGAGATAGAAATATTCATCTGCAATCATTATCACTACGATCATTTTATGGTCATAAAATAAGATTTTATGATTATTCATCTGGTTCAAATGAATAGCAAATATCAGCAAGCATCAAAATACTACAGTAAGGTCAAATCAACCAATCTTTAATAGTCTCTTTTAAGATAAAAAATGATGAAGTAAGTGGAATGCATTCATGGCTTCGCTTTTACTTATTGGAACGAAACGCTTCTGAAAATTTCGATTACAAAGGATTCCTTATCAAAAGATTTGTTGGTTATTACCAGTTTTTTGAGGACCTTTTGAGGACCTATTCAACATTTTCAAAGTGAGATAAATCCAGCTTCCTAATATGGTTTATAATGTTCCTCTTAGTGATCTAATATTTAACCATCCATAATCGACAATACCATTGGTTTCATATTGCACCTTAAGTCAAAACATAAATACCACTTCTTCACATCTGTTTAAATATTTTACACTGATTTGTCTTTTTTTCTTTTTTTAGAAAGCATTAATTTCAGGAAGTTATGGCAGCTGTCAAATTTTCTTGGTGGGAACAGATAAAAAGGTCAGGCAGTTTTATGATTGGTACGAGTCCGGAGTTCGACCTCGCCGTTTTTACTTTATGTTTTTTGTCTAGGAGGAGTCGCAGGACATGCGATGTTAGTCGAGCAAATCCTATTTTATCCTATAAGAACTTGTTTTTGATATTGATAGGAACAAAATATTGGAAAAAGCTACGTTGATTTTATGCTATTTTCATTTATTATTAATGGCCGAACAAATAAGCAAGGAAGAGCTAATTCTTCTATGGCCTAGTGTATTGAAATCCACGAAATCCTTTTTGGATGTAGGTAAAAAAACAAACTGCTATTGCCAATTTTATAAAAATAACTACGAGTACCACGAATTCCATCGATTTCTTTGAAAATTTATTAAATATTTAATCGAATATTTTATTATAATCTTGTCCATATGGGGATTTCCATTGATCTATTAAGCAGGCATCGTAAAACTGAAAAGTCGCAAAATTCATATAATCATGCATGCAAAAATTTTAAAGAATTTATTATATTATATTGCAAATTTTTTTATAAAAACCATTTAGATTATTTGCATTATTAATTATTTCTTAATTTTCTACTTTGATTTAGATCGAAATTGATGGTTGTCCTGTATTAATAACGAGTTTTGACCTTCCACAACGAGGAAAAATCTTCATTGGATCGATTTATCCGGTTGCTGGGCGTATTACAGAATCATGTAGGCAATATCACGGCTGATATCGTTCGATTATTTAATAAATACGACTTAAAGTTATTTTTTTGACCTGTTATGCATCTCAGATTTTTTAAATAAATCATTTTAAAAATTTCTTTCTTGCAACGAAGTATGTGAAACACTATGCAAAAGACAACATCTGGTTGGTGCTGGCTGCTTATTTGCACTTCTACTGCCAAGGAACTTGCATGTTTGTTCAGTACGATAAACCAACGGAGGGAGTTTAACCAGTAATAATGAGGGTCTTTCAAAAAGAAAAAAAACGACAACATATCTCAAACCAATTTTCTTATGTCATTATTTTAAATTAACAAGCATTTATTTGAGTTGAAGAATTCTTCTTAGGGTTGCAACATATTGATCTATTTTGCACAAAAAAAAGGAACGAAAAAAACCGTCTTCAAGAAAGGAATCATCTTCTGAAGGAACAAGATTGTAAATAATCAGGAGAACCATTAAATGAGGAAATAACTCTTTTATCCGAGTTTTTTTCGGCGATAGGTTAAATTACTTTCATATAATTGTGGTTATATGTCGAAAAAATTTATTTAATTTAATTGGAGACAAGATGGCCGAATAGATAGTCAGAGTGGTGTATTAAGAGGCAAAGACTCGAATACTCGAATCCTGTGCATTATAAGTTTGTCATTTAAAAAATCCGGATGGTGCAGACGAGCCAGCTGCGTCTTCATCACAAAAATTTCTGTTATTTTTAACAGAACACAATAGAACCAGAAATTCTAAATGCTTATCATTCATTTATTTTATTAGAGAAAATGTGTCAAGTGAGAATCTCTTATCAATCTTATCAAAGAATAATAATTAAACAATACGACTTCTTTGTGCTTTTATAATGAATTTTTGCAAATTTCGCAAACTTAATTGAACTACTTAAACGATAAACGTTAATAAGTTTATTTCATTTGATATATGAAAATATCAAAGCCAAGCAAATAAAAGAATTTCTTTATCATAAAATTTCTTTTTTTTTCCATTGTTTCACTAGTATTTATCATTTTTGGTTTTTCTTTTTCTTTCTTTTTCTTCCAATATCACACATCGTTTCTCTGGTAAATCTGGCACTAGTGATAAAGAATTGATAATTTCATATCAGAGAATAAGTTTTTCTAATAAACTAGGAGCAGGAGAATAAATTGGTATTGCTGAAATTTACTATCATATGATCAAGGATTATATGTTTGGATTATATGTTAGTAGATGGAAGCTATTTATATATAAATATATATATATTTTTATTTATTTATTTATTTATTTTTGCAAACATTTGTAAATTAAATATGCAAGACTTTTGCATGTAATCAAATATTTCCTATGAATCAATTGAAAAATATTTTTCAAATTTATAAATATTTCAAATTTTCGGATGATCCGTGATGTTGCTGATTCACCTGCGCTTCTATCATGCAGTGATTCCCTAGCAAAATTTGCCTGGTCCTACATGCCAATGAAATCAGCTTAACCAGCAATGATGATTTCTTAAAAAAAAAAAGAATTAAACTTATTTGTGTAAATCTTGTATATTTTTTTTCAGAAAATATCTTATGGAAATGTTTTTGCGTTGTTTTTGAAGAATTTTTTTTATTTAATTGAAAAGAAGAATACAACGTAATTTAAGGAAAAAATAAAAAATTTCTCTTATAAATATAATTTTCTTGCTAAATGAGGATCCTTGCTAATTTTCTAAAATAAGTAGCTTAATACTAATGGAAAGTAGAAAAATTACGTAAACTTACATTACGTAAACGACGTAGTACCATATCTTGTATCATTTATCAATAAGCGTTATCATAATATTGTATGTGCAATGATAAATATAATATTGCATACACAATGATAAATTCTTCTTTATTTGTTTCACATAACTTATTGTTTTGTATTTATCATATTGAAATGTTTATCTAATTAATTAGAAATAATTATCATTGCCAATTTTATATAATAAAGATAAATAAGTGAATTACGGTTTCTTATCGATCAAATGTAAAAATAATTTATAATTTTTATTTCTTATTTATTATTTTTCATAGGATTTCCATGGTTATTTAATATGCTTATTTTAATAATAAACTGCTATTTTTTTCCCACAATAATCACATTTTTTTTATATTTGGATGAAATCACTGCCTGATAGGTGCCAATCTGATAAGCTTTTTATTTCATTTTAAAATCGGCGAAGCCAGCCTTACTCAATTACTTTTTTATTTATTTTTGCAAAAATTTAGATCTAACTATGAATTATTTTTTATATACACTAAAAGAAAACAATTTCTGTTATTATTAATAAACTTAATTGAGTTTTGCTATGTACAAATATTTCAGCTAATTGTATGCTTTTATGGTTGTTGTATTATGTAAAATCGCACCGTATTTTGCACCATCCTGCAATTTGTATCATATCTGAGGTGATTTTAGTTCGACAGTTCTATGAGAATATAATTAGTGAAGGATAAGGTATATCCGCATAGAATCTTTTTGCATCTAACATCAATTGTACTAATTTGATTTTTTAGAATGGGTAAAAATCACTTATATAGTCTAATTTTTTAAACGTAAAATATTGATATTTCCAGAAATAAAAGAGTATATGACTTGCTCGAATTAATTTACTTATGATAAAATGATTTGTGACTTTCTTATAATTGCCAGTGTATATTTCTTGATGGATGTGCGATTAAAAAAAATTATACCGTATATTAATGAATTACTGACAAATTATAGCGGTACTATTCTTGCTACACAGAAACTACTTATGTTCGCATTAGAAAATTCGACTTTCCAGTTAATTCATAAGAAATATTCGAATATATGTAAAAATCTGGAGTATGGTATTTTCATATTAAAAATAAGCCTATATAAAAAAAAGTAAATGGTTAACGCGTGCTACTTTTGGATAAATTTCTTCCATTAGTTAGTTATGAGTTCGATTAAAATTTCGATAAGGAATAAGAATGATAAGAAATTTTGATAATCACTCAGCGTTAGAAGTACAGAGTAAATCCTCATCATCTGAATTTTTTTTAAGTGGCAGTCTTCCTCTTTTTTTGACAGCAGATGTCAAAACCTTATACGATAATCTGAATTCATCTAACTTGCCTGTAAACTAAAAAATGATTTAACGAAATTTCCCAAAAAAAAACAGAAAAAAATGAATTCCCAAAATTATTTTTTATATTTTTTATTTCTAACACGGTTGTTTTAGTTTAAAAGATGCTTTTAATAAAAATAAAACTATGAAAAATTGTTAAAATGAAAATGACAGCCGTATAGTTTCTTACCTGGTGTTACCATCATTATACAGTTATTTGCATATAGCAGTCCTCATCAATGATTTAAGAAATATATCAGTTCAGTTAGCTTTATTTATTAGCTTCTTTATTTCCTTGAAGCCTTTCTATTCTCAAATTCTTTAAATATTTTCTGAATGGAATATATCCAAAATAAGAAATCCTTTATTTTACATGTCTTTTTTTTAAAGAGTCTTCACCATTACTGGTTAAACTTGCTCTACTGGCTTGTCAATTGATCAATATGCCAGAGAGTCCCTTGGAATCCCTTAGTGATAGAAATACAGTCGAGTCACCAACATCACCCGGATTTTTTTACAGGATCGGATTTACTAAGCATCTGCGCTCCCAATCGAGCAACTGAGCCATTGAGCCATTGAGCCACTCTATTTTAATTATCCTGGTGCAGGTTAAACAGGAGCCTTATTATTATCGATGGTATCGAACGACCAGTTTCCGCTGATTTACTTTTCCTTATTGATGGAACTTCCTCAAATGATCCAAATACTCATCATAGCATATTAACACATAAATGGACATGTCGACATGTTAATTTTTTCAATTCTTTTCACGTCATAAAACTTTTAAAAATTTTATATCTAATTGGTACAAATAAGTTAAAAAATGGATATGAAATTTGTTTTAAGCCAAATGAATTAATCAAACAATTTCCGAAAAACCAATTCCAAAATTTTTCAAATTCTCGAAAAAATATTTTTTAATAAATTTTCTCTAATAAAATATAACTTTAAGGTGATTTCCTTAGGTTTTCTTAAATTTTATTTTTTTAATAATATTGCTGAAGCGCTTTCAAAATTTAGCATTATTCGCCGAGGAAATTGTAATTCAAATGAATCCATTTCTAGTTCAACGAATTGTTCATCTAATAATACTTGACTCTTATGAACTAAACATAGTGAAATTTCATAGCTGCATAGTTTTCCAATTAATCTGATTCTATAATCTTTGTAGCATTTATTTCAATAAAAAAAAAAATTTTTAATAGATGAAAAAAAAATCGATCTAAAAAAATTAAAAAAAGTTATTTTTTGTAATTTGTATGATTTTTGTGATGAAATTTCGTGGATTTTACAAATAACAGTTGATCTATCGAATCCTTCAATGGATCGACTTATGCAAGCATTTGGAGAATGCACGAATGAAAATGGGTTTTACATCTGTAATTTCACCTGCTAGAAGAAAGCACTTCGTTCTTAGACAAAAATCGGATGACGCTAAACTGAATTGAGAAGAAGTATTATGGTTTTTGGCTTAAAATATAAAAATTTAAATAGATATAGTTTCGTTTTCAGAAATCAAGAAACCCACAGTAATTTTATTTCACTCCACTATTCGAAATTTTATTTCAGGCTTCACTCAGGCTTTTGAACTCTTTCAACATTCTTCTCGGAGCCAATAGAGGTAGGCAACACATTGTGGCCATATCTCTCTAAAATTTCGTTGATATTTCATTGTTGTGTCGTCAAGTCGATTTGATAAGAATTTTTAACATCTTATGATTATTATTTAATATGTTTAATATATATTTCACCTTTTCTTTAAGCGTTTACCACTATTAGCAAATGATATTCATTCGTTTAATTGCGAAAGAAAGAAATTATTTCCAATGATTTTTTAGATAAATTTTTATGATCTGCTAAAGAAAAAAATAATTCCGCTCAGCAATGGTGCCACAT